ACATAGTAGGAACCTATAGCATCAACTGCTAGGGATGTTCATAATAAGTGCGTTCCTGATTGTAGAGGCCAGTTTAGCTAGGTGGTCCGCCACTGCCACAAAATATTTCCACTGACCATAAACGCAGGCTAGCCCACTTATTTTTATTGTTTCTATACTTAAAAAAAATCTAGTCGTACATATATAAATTTAGGTTTATAATTAAATATTTATAAACATTTAGTAAAATTCTTAATACAAATATACAAAATTTGAACAAAAGCCACTGAGTTCACAGTAAGCTTAAGGCTAGACGATCCCCTAGAGCCACAGCCACTAATTGCGTGCACTATTCCCCTTTTGTAAAACAATTAATTGACTCCCAATCTTGCCCGCAACAATGTTATAAAACGTACGTAGCCATGCATATAACTCTCTAACTCTCTGCACTATTACATTATTAGCTACATAACTACCTAAATTAAACAATGGAGCCGTGGAAAGACCTGAGCGGAATAGTAGTGATGGTGACAGGGGCGTCCTCGGGAATTGGGCGAGAGTTGTGTCTCGACTTGGCGAAAGCCAGCTGTAGCATTATTGCTGCCGCTCGTCGTGTTGACAGCCTCAAATCTCTCTGCGACGAGATCAATTCAGACGGCACCCGACGTGCATTCGCCGTTGAGCTTGACATCAATGCCAATGGTGCTACCATTGAGGCTGCTGTACAAAGAGCTTGGGATGCCTTCGGACGTATTGATGCCTTGGTTAACAATGCCGGCATTAGAGGTTGTGTATTATGAAGTTCTAAATTACTACTCCCTCTATTCAATTTATTTTTAAAAAAAAAATAAAGACTTCTAAAACTTGTACTCCCTCCGTCCAAATTTATGTGACATATTTTTCTTTTTATTTCGTCCCAAAGAGAATGTTACCGTTCTCTATTTAGAAATAATTTATCTATAGCTTATTTTAGACCACAAATTTTAAAAATCATTACTTCTTTCTTAAATTTTATGCTTAGTCAAACACTGCCAGATAAATTGGGAGGAAGCGAGTAGTTTTCTGTAAATAACCATAACATGTGTGTAGCTATAAGGCTTTCGAAACTTATGGCTTTAAAGCCTCTCATAAAGGAAATATAGAGATGTGCTACCATATTGAATTGAAGTTATATAAAAAATGAAATGACAAAGTGTCTTTCCTTCCTTCACGGTCAAATTTGATGATAAGCTTTACTTTTTTTGGATCAAACTAATAAGGAAAAAATTTAAGTTATATACATAGATATTTATTTTGCTTATAAGCTATAGGTAAATGAGAAGTTTAAAGTTAATTATTCTTAAATATGAAAAACTATAATTCTATCATCTTTATCAGATTACCTATTATATTATCAAGATACATACTTATAATTATCTCATAGATGATCTAATTGTATATTTTACGTTATCATCAACGCATAAAACTTAAAACTCTATATCTATATAGGTAGTATAAGCTCTTCACTGAAATTATCAGAGGATGAGTGGAACCATACCTTTAATACAAACCTAAGAGGGGCTTGGCTGGTTTCCAAATA